CTGAGCCAAGTCCTCTGATTGGTCAAAGATGCATTCATCTCCTGCTGACTGACCTCATAAAGTGCTGCTGACCCTTTGTCCCTCCATTGTTAAATATTCCATCCTTCTGCAGTGTTTGTGCTGTTGCAGATCATTTTTAATCCACACATAAAATAAATTCAGACCTGAACTTTTACAGCTTCACTCTGTGGAATCTGAGGTCACAGTGAAGACCCAACAAGAATTTCTACTAATGTCCGCCGCATTCATTAGGCAAAGGGGTTAATGCGACTGGCTATGGTTGCATAGTTTTTCCAAATGGAGAAGTGGAGACCCAGCTCTCCAGACACGGAGCAGGAGATGTAACACATCTGCTAAAGTGAAGTCTTTAACCCTTAAAACACTTTTGCTTTACACATTGAATAATGTTGGATCATTATCATGCAGAAAGAAAGCTATAATATGACACTTTGCAGGCATTTGAAAGCAAAGCAGGCCCACAGCATCACATATCATCCACCGTACTTAACATTTGCGAACAGCTGTTTTCACTCAAACTCAGCCGTTTTAAGCTAAATTTTTGGACGGTTTGTTGGTGAAAAGCTTAATCTTCATCTCGGGTGATGAATTATGCGATAAGAATCAAGTTAAACAAGAATAAAATAACTGCAATTTTGACACTATGACCAACTTAAGGACTAAATGACATCTCAAATTAAGATGTCAATCAAAAAAATGAATATCACAGGTCTTCAAGTCCTAAAGCTAAAGTTTGATATAGACTCATAACACAAAAACTGATAAATTTAGGTATTGGTCTATATTTCATTTTCTGTATGCCATAATAAAGATGAGCCTACAGATTGTGGTATTCAAGCATATCAATAGAAAATTACGTGGAAGGAAAAAGTGTCATAGAAAAAGGTACAAAACAGCCAGAAATAATCGCAGCCCACATTTATAAATTTTATAGGAATTGTTTGGAGAGCCAAGAAGAGTGCCACTAATTATTTATTAATATGACTCTTTTCATCCTAAATAAATCAAAGGCTGGATTTTTCAAAATTGTTCCATGTCAGGTTAAAATTACGACATTTTTACTTGTATTTATTACCTATACCAGTAATTGTGGAGGGTGCTGTTGCTTCATCGTGCTTGTTTCAACAAACTGAAACTGAGATTGGTTTATAGTCGTCATAAAGATAGCTCTGTCGTCTGGAGCCCAGAGCTGGTGTATAAGCGTGTGCAGTACATTGATCCTTGCTCGCTGTCAGTTGGCCAGATCATAAAACCTCCCATCTATCTGTTGCCATGGAGCAGTTAGCAAAAACATGATTGGCTTATGTGAATCAGGCATCTTGCAGGGTGGTGTCTGTAAACCCACGGCGACATTATTTGATCCAGAGATACAAATCACTGTGATTAGGTTCACATTACGGGTTCAGTTGGAGGCTGCTGGCTTTCCCAGGAGTGGATCTGTCATTTAATGGATCCTCCATGTGTGTGTCAAGGTTCAAACCCACAATAAATCACCAGTCTCACACACACACACACACACACACACACACACACACACACACACACACACACACACTGCAGAATGTACTGCAGGCTCTTTATAGCTTTAATACATTTTGGTGCCGGTTGAATCTCTGTAGTTTTGTTCAGTAACATCTAAACTCCCATCCAGACAGTTAATGGAGTCTTTGGGGAAAACCAGAAATGTCATGATTCATTATGAGCAGTAGCTCTTTTCCTTCATGTCTCCATCAGTTTTAGTTCCAGTGAAGGAATGTTTTTCCCCACATTCCTCATCAGATCATTGGGGATAAGAGGCCTTCGTTTATGCCCAGCTTTATTTAAGTCCTGGTACATCATTTCAGGAAAGTGGAGATGTGGACTTTGACTGGGCCATTGCAATAGCTTGATTCTTTGCTTTTTTTTTTATTTTTTATTAGCCAATAGTGGCGATTCAGTGCTTTAAGATGTTAATTACCCAGTTCTTGATTAACTTTGGCCTAGTTTCTTTCTGGAATACTTTGACGTACAGAAATGTTAATGGACAGCTCGATGGACACAAGGTGCAAAACCAGGTCAAATCATCAACCCTCCACCACCATGCTTTGTGTCCAAAATGGTACTCATTATAGTGTGACCTCCTTTTTTCCCTGACAGTTTGTTCTACTTGTCTTGTAACTGAGAAACAGACTTAAGTGGATCATAATCTTGTTGGAGAACACAGTTTTCTCTAGGCAGCCTTTTTAAACAAGCCAAACTTGTTCAGTCAAACTTATCTGACTGAACTGTAATGAACTGTGATGCTTGACTGTAACTTGTGATGTCTAAGAAAGACCTTTCGGTTTTGATTTGTGTTCTTGTTTTCCGAGCTTTGCATCGTCTGACCCACTGGGAGATCCATCCCTGTGGAGTGTTTTAAAATTATTTTGAAATGACCAACAGCACTTGCTTCTCTAAGGCCATTTCTGATGATTTTTTTTTTTTTTACTTTGTTAATTCACTTGTAGGGCCCAAAGTAGCAAACAATCAGATCCTGGTTTGTGTTTTGTCTCTTAAATCATGTGGAGCCATCCACTGTTTACTCAAAATGACTACACTAAGAGTCAAAAGCTTTCTTTCTTCTATGACTAACTTTTCAAAATAAACAATGTTTGTATTAAGTTAGACAGTGAAACATCTGAGAAAGTGAGAAAGGTACTAAAATGTTTGTTGTTCCCATAAAACTGTTTTTATTGATCTCATTTTTAGACATAATATAAAAAGTCAACAGTAGATGGTGGTTAGTAATGTTAAGAGTTACCTCCTCATACTAAAAGACACCGATACTCCTGGATCTGCCTCAGGGCTGGGTGAGTTTGCTGTGTAACAGACAGGAAAGATGGATACTGTTTCTTTAAATGACTCAGTTCTGGGAAAATCTGTCAGTTGTCACAGAAGCACCTAGAAGCCTTAGGATGTAAATCTGCAATGAGTCAAAAAGCCCAAAAGCCTTCAGCAGGTGACAGACTATGGCTGTATTGTTTTAGTGACTTGTTGTACTCAGGTTTTGAGAGCAGCCTCAGTTTTTGTCACGTTTAGTCGTCTGCCTGGCAGAAGATGCTTGTCATGGCTTTTGTCATTTATTAATTGCTTGCTGTTACTTGATAATGCAGAATCTTTTCACTCTATACATTACACCATATGGGTCAGCAATGTGACTCTGACCTAAAAACATTGGGATGGATGGCCTTATTGACATTATTATAGATTCAAATGACATTTGCTTAATCAGCATCAGGCAGACTGGAAAATGTTGTTGCAGTTATAAAGATTTTCACTAAGACACAACTGCATAAACACTCTACGGAGTGAAAATATAACATGCATTTTCGTCACAATATTTTAAAATATAATTGAAAAGTGAGATGTTGTTCTGTCTGCTTTGTGCACCTTTTTCTACCACGCTTTTTTTCTTCCACCAAATTTTCTATTAATATGCTTGAATACCACAATCCGTAGGCTAATTGTAATGATTATGGCTTGCAGCTCATCATTAAACACCTAAATTAATATTTTTTTATGAATAAATATTGTAGTTTCACTTGGAGATCTGAGATGCATCCACTTTTTGATTTTACTTTTTGAACTGCATCTACAATTTAACAAAGATGTAATGTGAAACTGAAGTATGTGCCCTTTTACATATAGATCATCAAACTCTTTCAGTACCAGACAAATATGATCAGAGCAAATACAAAAGCAGTTAAGTTAGTCCAAAAAAAGCTTTCCAAACTAAAGGAGGTGTTAATAAGGTGATGGTCTTGAGTTCTTTGGTTCTGCAAGACTAAATTGATATAGCCATGCTGCTCAGAAAGTCCTGAAGAAGAAAAAACTGCTATCAGATTGTGTCTTGGGTAAAATAATACGTTTGGTCTGGACAAAAATCCAGTCAACATGCGTAAACAGACTTTTCATACTCGGACACTATCCGATGTGGCTGAATTGAAATAATTTTGCCAAGAAAAGTGGGTAAAAATTCCCCCACAGTGATGTAAAAACTGAATGAGAGTTATCCAAAAATGCTTAATGGCAGTTCTTGCTCTCAAGAATGACATAACCAGTTATTAGGGCATAGCTACTTTTTCACACAAGGCCAGGTTGGCTGGGAAAGCCATTTTCCCCTCAAAAACTAATCGTTTGAAAACTGATATTTGAAATAACTTTAACCATCTTCATCTGGTGAAAATCTGTCAAATATTTATGTGACCATAAAAAGCAGTAGCTGAACAGAAATCTGTCATGGGCAGACGCTGTTTAACATGGTAAACATCAGTGAAAGACGTATAATTGTTAGCCATGGCGTCAGCTCTACTTTGTGAAAACCCATCCGCTGCATTTTTTACGTAGCATTAAACCCAGCATGTTTTGGTATTAAACAGTTCTTCGTCAGTTCTAGACATGGATTACCATTTGTAATCTTTGCTTTCTTGTGAATAATGGATCATAATTCGCTCACATTCCAAAACATTGTGAATCACCCATCGTCATCTTCTTTTGTTTGCATCTAAAATTGGATTCCCTTCACTGTAGTTTCTGCTTTCAATATCCAGTTTGCCCAGCCACTGCTTGCGTGGGAACAGTTTAATGACTCATGTTTGGCAACTTGCTCTTTCATTACGCTAATAATGAGAAAAGCATGAAACTACCCCAGTGTGCTAGCACCTAATAATTATATTAGCATTTAGCAGAAAGCTGTATTTTCCTCATATGGTGTAGGTGGAGATAAATATTGTGTGTGTTGACGAGAAAGAGCCTGGAAGACAAAGACTTTCTCTTAATGCCTGAAGGTGGAGATTACTGCAAGGCTCAAACACACCTTTATGATTGTTGTTTGTGTGACCGTTGGCCTGCAGCACACCTTATCTGCAGGCTCCGGTCGGCCAGCAGCCACACAAAGGAAGAAACGGCAATGCTTCACAGAGCTCTCCCACCTATGCACTTGGACACATGGGTCTGTCCTGACTTGTGGAGGTCGATCTACTCCTGATCCCTCAGAAGATAGTACTAAATTTAAACCTTGGTGTTGGTTGGATTTCCCATATTTTCTGTGGAAAATGGTTCGTTTTAGTCGCTTGACATCCTGGCACAGCTGGGACCTGCTGCACCTGGACCCAGAGATCCCCGAGTCGCCGCCTCCCGACACAACACAACCGGCAAATTTCACTCAGGTGAGAGACTTGCAGAGATGCAGGTTATTTCACCTTTTGGCAATATCATTTCATTGCAGTTTTGGTCAATTCATACCTTAGTTTGTTGATATGGAAAATACATGTTTGCCACCTGATATTTTGTCCCAGTCGTTCTTTAATTTTATCCACTTCCACCGCAGATGGCTTAAAATAATTTTATTGAATCTGCTTATTGTGTGATGATGACTTTTATTTTGATTAGGGGTCATAATCTGAGTTGATCAGAATCACTGCTAATGAAAATAAAGCGCAAACAAAGGTTTTGATAAATGTACTATTGGCTTCCGCTTAAAATTGGACTATTTTCGAGCTACTTATAATTCATGAAACCCAATCCTTACAAAGAAATGAAACTGACGAGCATTGGCTTTAATTACATGGGTCCTAAGTTCAATGAGCAAATTAAGTAGTAAAGTTCAATTGTCCCAAAGCCAATTTGTAGATGCCTCTATACTCATGACTGACGAATGGTATTGTTTTTGTTTTTCATATGAATGCAACTGGGAGCTTGTGACATTTGTTTGGTTGAGATTATGTTTTGCTGTGTTGCTTTATTTAAATGTGCTGCTCTGCTCGTTTTGTGCACATCCAGACCACCGAGGCCTTTTATGGTTCTTGTTTCCTGGTCATCCTCTCTTGATGGGGGTATTTTATTTATATTTGACTGGATCGATTTGGGTTCGAGTTCTCAGGAAAGTCTGTGTCACATTGTTTTCTGATCGTTAATCACCCCCCACATGATCAAAGCCAGCTGTTATCAGATGACTACCATTGGGGAGGGGGGCATCACAGCAGGAGAGTAGAAGAGTGAGAGGGTGGGGGTTGAAGCAGATTTCTTCTCACCACTTATTTTAATTCAATCAGGTTGCTTAAAGATTTTTGCTTTTTCCAGGGTGAGGTTAATGCCACAAGCTGCGGTAGATGAGATAAAACTCCAAGCTCAGTTTGATTTCATTAACCTAGAACAATGGCTCCCAAATAGTTATAGTTTGGGACTTCTTTTGTGGTATCAAAATAAAAACCTGACACAATTATTTACAAGATAACGTGATTTGCCAGGAATCTCTTCATCTGGCAAGATATTTACCTTTGAAATTAAAACTTGGATCTTGAACTGATATAAAATTAAAACAAAGTATTCCAGTTAAACTCAGCATTTTGCTAACTTCATGGTTCCCTGTGGTTTCCTTTAGAGGTGTTCAAAAGTTTTGGTATCGGCAATTGGCATTGTAAATAAAAAGCTAACCAACTGTGAAATAAAGCAAATTAGCATAAGCAAGGCAAAAATTGAGTTGTTCACACCTATCTCTGCTTTAAATGAAAGCTAATCAAAAACATCTCGTAAAGTAAACATTTCTCTAGATGCAGTTTGTAAATCTGCTGAGATTGTAAAATTGTTCTCAAGCATGCTAACAATTATTGGCTAAGAAAGCATGCTAACAAGCTAAGGAGACCATGCTTCCTACTGTTGGCAATGAAAGCTAAATGTGATGTAAGTCTCTGCATGTAGTGCCTTCAAACATTACATCCAACACATTCACTGAAGATTGCATAATACTGTTAAACATCTAGTATGATAAATCTTAAAAAAGGAAATGTTTTATCTGCAGTCATCACCAAGTTTTACTTGCATGGGGACCTTGTTGAAGTTTGAAGTCAATGTTGGTAAGAATTATGACTTCAGGGAACATTTCTGTTAGTAAAAATGTAATGCATAATTAAATCTCACCTTTCATACAATCTTCCATGCTCATGGACAGAAAGTTATTTTTTTTCTTTTTCACCATTTGTTTTTATGACATAAGATAACAATAAAGTCCATATCGTGTTGAACTATTGTGTAAAAATGTCAGTCAACTTTGTGTTATGGTCTTTTGAGAACCACTGGACTTAAATGGAGAAAGCCTCAGTATTTTTGTTTCCCTCTACATGGACAAGTTTACATAGTAGACTCAACAAAGACCCTGTAAACACAATTATTCAGGCAGACATGAATACAGCTGCTTAATGTTAGTTCAAGAGGGGCTCATGGGCCACTTGGCAGCACACTGACCTGAAGTAATATCTTCAATAAATTACAGAATATCTCTGTTTATATTTGAGGTATACTTCTCTGCTCTGGAAGGCGTTCAAACTTTTTTTTGCTGCTGATGGAAAGGCGGGGAGCTCAATGTGCTTATCTATTGTACTACAGCAGCCGATTAAATGTGCTGAAACAAGTAAACAAAGGGGATTTCCTGTTTGGCTATTTGGAAATTTCTTTCCTTGTTTTTTGCCATGTAGCCTGGCATTGTTCAAAGGTCTCTAAGAAAAACAGACGCTTCTTGAGAACAAAGACTGTGCCTCGGGGGCGGACGTGTCGCGAAAATGACATGCTCACCCCTTGTGAAAGTCTCAGGTTTTTTAGTAAGCTTCTTCCTTATGAACAAATACTCATCTTGAAAAAATGGAAACGGGTGTGTTTTGCAAGACACGAGCGGCGTGGCTGCTTGAAGAAAGTGCCAAACAGAGCATTTGTCATCGTCAGAAGCACCGGGACGGCTGTTTCGACCGAGGAGCTCCCTGCCTGCAAGCTGTCACACTCTGACTCCACCTCCAGATATTCAGATCAGCCTCCCCAAGAGCCAGCACAATGAGGCAGGATCCTCCTGGTTGCTATGACTTCAGACCAGTGTTCGGGTGAAATGTAAGCAGGCTGGACGCGTCAGAAGAAGGTCCGCCAACTGACCGGTCGGATAACTTGACAGGACTCAGATTAAACCAGGAGGCACTGGATCTTGTCAGCTGGAGCCTTTCTGAAGTGCTTTTAGGGAAATATTAGCGGTTTGCCATCTTCATAAGAACTGTCCGGGTGAAGGAGTGGATACACAAGACTCCCACCAGTGGAAGTGGAAAAGGAGGAGGCGAGACGTTGAGTGAGGGCAGCAGCTGGCATGAGGATGGGCTGCGGTCCATGAACCCCTCTGAAGGATTAGAATGGTTTTTGTTACTTTTGACATGCCTCTGGCTTCAATGGTAAGCTCCATTGCTATGGTGGGAAACTGTTGATGGCTTTTATCCTCTGTTTAATTGCAACTTCCAGACTTTGGTTTAGTCTATGGAAACATTTTGTTTTGCTGAAAGTGCTCAGGAAGAAAATTTGTTATCTTTATGTTGGATCAGATTAGCTCAAAACTTTCTCATGTCTGCTTTCTATACTGAGTGAGGATTTAAGTGCTGTGCTCGAACTGGGAAATGGTCCAGGTTTTGTCTTTCTTACCATGTGGACTTCCTGACACCTGCATCCTCTTCCACTTGTTAAAAGAAACCCAAAATGGCTCGATTTTGGTTTCCTTTTCACTGAAATGGATGCAAACTTTCCTGTTTTCAGCACTTTCTATCTGAACGACAGATTGTCTCTTTTTAGTTACATTGCTAATCTACTTTGCAAAAAATTTCTCACAGATAAAACATAAGGTTGTTTCGTAGTATGATTGATTTAAGTGTGTTTAAGATGCACCATCCAGGTTATTGTGTTGATCACTAATTTATGTGCTGGTCATCTTTTTGCATGTTCTTTTATTTAAAATAATAATAATAATAATAATAATATAAGAAGAAAGCAGCATTCAAAGTACCTTCTCTAGTATCCCTGCCATTACTGGTGGTGTTTATTTACATCTGGAGCAGATTGAGCTTCACACTGTATGACCGAGAGCTGTGTTCATCTTATAACAAAGTCAGAAGGATTACCCACTGGTTTTCCCATCTTATTGTAGCGATTAGAGCAGCTACCACTACCATAATTTTGCATTTCCAAAAGAATGTTGACCTTTACATTAACTGCTGGATTTTCAAAATACTCCTAACATTTCCAACTCCAGTGTGATCCAGGACGATCCAACTGGTTGAACATTGTTTAATTTGTTCAATAAGATTGAATCTGTTCAACCAGATTAAACAAAGCCCTTTTCTCATTCTGTGATTAAGCTTCCTGTTATCTGCTGCATCTCTTGCTCTCTCTTGCTATCTTCTAACATTAATGATCCTTGGACAAGCCTGAACATGTCTTAAAAAGCAGTTTTTGTTTAAATAACTTCTTATATCTTTTCTGTACTGACTTCATTTTAAACACTTTTATTGATTCTGGAATCGACTTCAAGTGTCTCACTAACGACATCAACAGCAAGGATGTACCAATTACTGTATCTTGGCTGATTTGTTCACTGAACAAAATGAAATCAGATTCTGGAATTTCTGAATGGTCAGTAATCAGAAAATCAAAATGAATGCTGAAAATCAAACAATTCACTATGGATCCCTAAGCATCTCTGACTAGTGACTGACGGATAAAATACTGACTAAAAGTCAGATTTTATGTATCTGAAATGCATCAAAACGGATAAGAAGGGATGGGGTTGAGAAAGAAAAAAAAGAGTTGCTTCGTTCAAAGATTATTATATATAAAAACATGATTGATTGTATCGTGTTCTGTCCAGTAATGCAGAACACAATAGCTTTTCTTTAGTGTTTTTTTTTTTTTGTGTGTGTTGGAGTTCTGGCTGTACATGGTGAAAAACATATTAAACAAATTGTTTAAACTTCATCAATTCTTGCTGAAAACATTGACTTCTCTCAGTAAATGCATCAACACTGCATGTTCATTGCTCCACCTTGCATGGAGCTCAGTAAAAGTTAAGAGTGCACGCTTTCATGCTGGAATTGGGATAATCCTGTAATTTTATGTCAGTCAATACTGATACCTCTATCAAGGAGCTTACAGCACATACTGGTTACATTAAAATGTCTAATTTTTAAAAGAAAAAAGAAAATTTGGATTGATTAAAAAAAAACAAATCAGAGCAGTTTCAGCTTCATCCAAGTCCAGATGTGCAGCTCAATCATAATTTTAAAAAACAACAAAAAAACATTTTTTTATTGCGAGTCTGACCAAGATGCTGAAAGCAAAAGTATTTGTGTGTGTGTAGTGGAGGTGGGGGAGGTGTTTCCAATGTTTTGACTGCACAGTGTGTGTTTGTTCGTTTCTGTTTAGTCGAGGGGGGGTGATCAGTTAAAGAATTTTGTCGGAACGGCCGGCCGGTTTCAGCAACGGTGTCAGTGTCCTGGAATGTAAAGTTTCCCCATCCCCTGTTTAATGAGGTGAGGGTCATTGACTCCCCCCGTCAGGGACACACATACAAACACACCGCCACCAACAGCAGATTCCTCAGCACTGACACTCCGACAAAAACAACTGCTTCCTCTGATACCGAGGCGACCCCTTGTTTATTTACTTTGCTGCTGCTCGTAAAGTGGACGGAGTTTGTAGGAGCGCGCCACGCGACGGGGCCTGCTGACAGGGTAACAATGGACGGGGGAACAATGGCCAAACTCGGATCGTCTGTTCCTATGGAACAACCTCCTGCCTGCTCCTTGTGATGTCATGAGCATTGGCTGGGAGGAAGTGTCAATTCTTCCCTCTCCTGTTTGTGTCCCAACATGAGGATGGCTTTAACGAGCCAGTTGATGTCATCCTTAGCCCTGAAAATCCCCTCCGATTTCCTGCTTATCCTGTCTTTGTATATTTTTCTCATTCCGTTCTTTCCAACTCCCTGACTGGAATCTTTTTTTTTTTTTCCCCCCTTGAAATGACACAATTGCTAATAAGTGATCTGTTTGTTTCATTTTCTGTTTTGTTACTGTACATCTTGTAAGTTTTATCTGTGTGTCTCCTGTCAGGGTCAGGCTCGACGGAGGAAGAACATGACGGAGTTCCTGGGGGAGACCAACATTCCGACCCAGGATGCTCTGGGACAGCTGCCCGCCGTCGGGGCAGGGCCGGACAACTGGAAGAACCGCGCCGCCAGCCGCTTCAGCGGCCTGTTCGGCTCCAACGCCGGAGCGGGGCCCTTTGGCAAGGTAAGGCTGAGCCCAGAGTGTGAAACCCAAGAAGGTGCGCCTGCTGGTTCGATCAAAGCAGCACGCTTTCTCTTACCCCAGAAATGAGTTGTTAAAAGCTATGGGGAACATGTCTGCTGCCCAGACGTGTCTCGCATTAGGAAAGCGTTCAGAAGCAAACAAAACAGTAGCCGGCTGGAGTGGGAGGAGGTCAGAAGGCCACATCCCGCCAGCCCTGGTGAAATCATTTCCCTTCAGAGTCTCTTTACTTGTTGGCTTACTTACTTTCCTCGCAGCTGCTATGGAAATGCGTAGGTGGAAGGGAAAGCCTTTGCTCACTAAGTTTTATCCAAAGGATTCTTAGATTTTAAAGAAATCTAACTAGATCTGCAACTGATTATTTTGGTAACAGATTTTCCTGACTATTAAGTGGATAAAAAAATTGCACTTGCTGTAGATTTTTCATTTAAGCACTTAAGCTTATTTTATACAGTATTAGAAGTACAAATATTTCAAATCCTTTTTCACTAATGAAAATAAACATTTTATTGCCTAAAATGCAATAAAAGCATTTCTTCAGTGAACGCTTTATCATTTGTAGAAAAGATACAGCTACAGTTAAAATGTTTCTAATGTGAAAGGTTAACCTTGTCTGCTCTGCTTAACATCAGTATACTAATTATTTTTTGATTAACTGATAATTAAAAAGCAAAAGGTGCTTAGTAGATTATTTTACAGGATTTGAACCCAGTGAAGCTAAAACTATGCCAAATGGAGATATTTCATAGAGTTTTGGCTTACTCACTATTATTTCAGCAAATGGCCTCTTTTTGTTTGCATACTCCAGATTAATCGATTATTGGTTTAATCAATAAATCAAGACTATTTGCATAGCACATTTCAGCAACAATACTGTTCAAAGTGCTTTCCATAAAAAACCCCATAAAAATACAAAGTCAGAGAACACACAGTCAATAAGTGATTGACAATTATTTCAAAAAATTGATTCATCACAATTGATCTAATTAATCGTTTCAGCCCTAAATCAAACTTAAAATTATTTTCAGTTAACCAGGTCATATTTTTTTTAATTTTTTTTTTATCTATATGAAACCATTGAGGATAAATTTTGGTTTAAAGCTCATTGCTTGCTCAGACCTCTGTCTCATTTTATCTACATTTCTAATCCACTTTGACTCAAATGAAGAGCATTGTGCCAGCGTCTAAAAATGTCCAACCCAACCCTGCGGTCGCATCCAGCACATCTGCCGACGTCGTTCAGAGACGCAATCAGTCATTTGTCAGTTCCAGACTCATCTCTGTTTTAGCCGATTTGCCCCCTTTAGCTCTCTCAGGACCAGAACCTGGACCTCTGTCATCCTCTGTACTGCAGGGTTCAGCAGCTGTCAGTCATTCTGTCTCAAAACCAGACAAATAAGCTCAGATCTAATCATGTTCTCTCTAAATTCACTGCAGACTATTTTATAATTAGCTTCTTTGCCCAACTGTAGCCTTCACCCCGACTCCCCTGTCGTCTATTGTTAAAGTGGTCTCAATGCACAGAGCTCATTTTCATAACTGTGTAAAGGCTGCCAGCTTGAACAAAGAGCTGAGCAGTGGCTACGTTTGGATTTAAATATCAAGGCGCCATTAAAGCATAAAAACACTGAGCTTAGCATGCAATCTTGGCCCTGATCTGAAACTTTTCCTGCTGCAGGAGTTGGACCGTCTCGAGCAGCTCCAGAGCAAACTCCACTCCTACTCGTTATTTGGGCTGCCCAAGGTGCCGCGGCAGCTCTCCTTCCACCACGACTCCTGGGAGGGAGAGGAGGAGGCCAACCTGGTCATGGAGGACAGCTGGAAGACGCTGCTGGACGATCCAGAGGTACGAACACTTTGTTCATGTCTAATAACTGTAAGCAAAATATTTTCTCCTTATTTGTTCCCATGTTTGGTGATATAGTCCCTCTGTGTAGGGGTGGGCAACATGGACTTAGAAGTTTATCTTAATATTTTATGGTACTATGGTAAGACTGAGCATTGAAGCCATACCAATAAAAAATGGTCATAAAATTACAAAAATAAAGTTGAAATAACACGAGAATAAAGTCGTAGCATTATGACTTTATGTATTGTGACTTTTATTCCCATACATTCTCGTAATTTTATTTATTTATTTTATACTCAATTATGCTATTGTGGTAACAATATAACTATGATTTAAAAAGTACATTTTATTTTATTTTTTTATGGAACTCACACAATAGCTAAATTTAATCATATTTTTGAATTTACTGATGGATTTTTGCGTGGAACAGTGTCGAACAGCAAAAATAAAAATTACTGATGATTCTGTCAGTTTCTTTTATTTACCATCACTAATTGAAATGTACAACAACAAATCAAAATTCCTATAAGAAAATTTTCCCTAAGTGATAAAAGATATGATAAATGTCGACCTCTACCTCTGAGCAACATTTTCCTTCGTGTGGTTCAACCAAACCATGCTGCTGATCAAATGGTGTCCTCCTCATCATCCATCCTTGTCTGTTCCCCTCTTACCTGTATTCCAGCAATAAAGCTTACAAGGCTTATTGCAGTTGGAGCTGTAAATGCCTTTGGAAACGATAACATCCATCTTACTCTGTCATTTGCTTTCGCCTGTTAATGTGTATATGGCTAATCAGATTGTTGCCAGGTTGCTGTATTTTCCCTCCTATGGGAGATTTACTGCTGACGGCTGGTTATGTAAGCTGCATAACTCAGTCATAGTCGTAGTGCTGCTCAGAGATAACCCTGGAAAATGGGAGAATATTATTCTTGTTTATGGGATTGAGTGATCCACTTTTAATTGTAACTCCACTTTCTTTGGTTTGCCTTTGGAATTTAATGTTTCCACTTCACTGCTGGGATAAAAATGAATATGTTTTTGTTTAGCATTTTACTTTAGCTTGGTACAGAGAATCATATTAGTGTTTAATTATGAATACGCTGCATACATAACCACTGAGTAATAGCTTTTCGCCTGCAAGCCAGAAGAAGTGAGTATTGACATCCTGCTTCCGTGTTGCATGGAAGGCAGCAATATTTTAAATTAAAGCTGGAAAGAAATGAAAATAAAGCCGCTGGATAATTCACTTGTGGAAAAACTTGTTAACACATAGTTTCCATACATATCTAGTATTATCACTGATCTTTTCTCAGACATAAGTGGCAGGATTCTTTATTTTTCTGTTGTATATCCTTAAAAGAAAGAGAAGTTGGTCTTTACAAACAAGTCAAATATTATGTAAAGCTATGAAATTAGAATTCCATCCTTTATTTTAATCTTTATTTAACTTTTATATGGAGAAGTTGGTGACAATTTTTAACACGGACCTAGAAAACATTATCTAAATGCTCAAACATTTGCTCATCTCTTTATAAGAATGAAAAATAAAATGATTCCTTAATCTTTGCTTAATACTTAACAGGTTTATTCTACTTTTTTTCTTTTTACCATGAAATTCATTGGAACTTACCTGAAACTCATTTATGGTGGCTGTCGGTAAACTAGTCAGTTGTAGACAAAGTTCCAGAGACAAAGGTGTGGGCCCAATGTGTCATACCCATCAAGAAAACCTTTGTGTTTTTATGTAGACGCTGACGAAGCGACAGTTCCACCAGCAGGAGGCGATATGGGAGCTGCTGAATACTGAAGCCACCTACATAAAGAAACTCAGAGTCATCACTGATGTAAGTACAAAGGAAGCTTTTGTAATCTGCCGCCGCACATAAAAAGTCCACATACTGCTACAGGGTGTTGTGCAACAAGATGCATCTGTATTTTGGCAGATAAGTTACACAATCACTTCCTCGTTGGGATTTTGAAGTAATAAAATGTATTTCCGTCTCTACAGTAAACCTTAAACTTGAATGCCATTTTGTCCAGCTGTTCCAGTGTGGGCTGCTGAACCTGCAGGAGAGCGGCCTGCTGACGGATGTGGAACCCACCAAACTGTTCAGCAACATCCAGGAGATAGTCCGGCTCCACATCGCATTGTGGAACCAGGTCATGCTGCCCGTTCTGAAGAAGGCCAGGGAGGCCCGGGCCCTGCTCGACCCGACTCACCTCCATGATGGCTTCAGGACGGTCAGTAGTGGTTAAACTATACTGGAAAAGCTTGTATTCTATCTGCAACAAATGGCCAAAAGACAGAGAAAATGAAGAGAAAAAACAAACAAACGCACAATACAAATGAGTTCAGTTTTTGAGAATTTACCAGGTTTATTACATACAGTTACGGGAAAAACATGACAGCGGCGTGATTTCAGGTGCTCTATACCTGAAGCTAACGCAACATTAAGCATCAAATTCGCATTCAAAACTTTGAAGCGGCACATTTAATACATACAGAACAGAGAAAACTAAGAAGAAGGCCTTTGTGTTAATCTATGCATAATCTAAATGGGGGGAAAAGTAGTTTGCCTTGTTGAGTAAAGAAACAAAGTAAGGTGCATAAGTTTAGCCTGTAACTAGTGCAGTGTCCTGCACAGCTAAATGCGTAAGCAGCTCTGCTCCCATCAATCACACATCCCAGATGATTTGCACCCGACTCATCCTATGGGTACAACAAGCGACAAAACGGAGCTGGAAGATGTGCTCTAAAGAAGCAATAAGGAGTCCCCCCTTGCCGATGTGGTAATATCTGCTTTATGCCTTTATGTTTTCAGTTTGGGTCCAGGTTCCAGCCATACATTCATTACTGCATGGAGGAGGAGAGCTGCATGGAGTACATGCGCACGCTTCTCAGGGACAACGAGCCCTTCAGGACGTACGTTACGGTTAGTACTCCACTCTGCCACCCATAAAGCTGATTCTACATCCCTTCAGCATGCCCTGATCGGACACACTCATCCTTCTCCTGTGTTTTTGACGCTTGACTTCCTGCCTTTGTCTTTAGTGGGCAGAGACCCATAAGCAGTGTAACCGTCTGAAGCTGGCCGACATGTTGGCAAAGCCTCATCAGAGACTGACCAAGTATCCCCTCCTGCTGAAAAGCATACTGAAGAAAACTGACGAGCCGTCGGCCCGCGACATCGTTAGCAGCATGGTGAGGATCCTGGTAGCCATTACTGTTCCTACTGGGACTTATTCACCCTGCATCAGGTTTGAACATGAGTATTTTTGTGTGTTTCAGTTGGTCACAGTGGAGAGCTTCATCAACAGCGTGGACTCGCAGATGCGACAGCGTCAGGAGCAGCAGAAGCTGGCCACCATCTCCGCCCGCATAGACTCCTACGAGGCCGTGGAGGGCAGCAGTGAAGAAGTGGAGAAGGCAAGAAGCTAATTTATGACACCACAGAGCTGTCAGTGATGAGGCTTTATGTAAGCTCTTGCTTCACGCTTTCTCTCTTTTTTGGTGGGGTCTTCTCCTCTTCAGATCCTCAAAGAGTACAACCGCTTCGATCTAATGTCTCCCATGAGAGAAACGTCACCGGAGGAGACTCGACAGCTGCACCTGGAGGGAGCTCTGAGGATGAAAGAGGGCAAGGACAGCAGGGTAAGACTGAGTCACACGACCGCTTGTAAACGCACGACGCGCTCTGCCCTTTGAAGTCACACCTGGTTTCTGACTTTTGCCCTGCAGATGGAGGTCTACTGTTTCCTGTTCACCGACCTACTGCTAGTTACCAAACCGGTGAAACGAGTTGAAAAGGTTAAAATTATCAGACAGCCTCTCCTCATTCACAACATCGTCTGTAAGGAGCTCAAAGATCCTGGTGAGCGCTAGGTTTTTTTTTTTTTTGGCCAGATTTTAGTATTTAGAATGCAAATGTTTTGTTTTGTCTGGAAATGTGAATTGGAGGAAAGCAGGAAATCCGCAACATGGTGGAACTGTAACAATGTCCTGCATAAAATGCCAAAATATGAGCAGTAAAATAAAAATATTAAGTGTTTATCTTTTTCTGTCTGTGGCACTGACATTATGCATTTCTTTGTGTTTTTAGGTTCTTTTACCCTTATCTACCTCAATGAGTTCAAGAGTGCAGTAGCAGCTTACACTTTCCAAGCCAACAGCGCCTCCCAGGGGCGAAGCTGGATTGATGCAATTTGCAATGTCCAGGTTGGTGAAATGGTTCTCCCATTTCAGCTGAGAGATTTGCAGTCCTTATATGATGGTCTGATTATTATTTTTTGTGTGTTTTTTTGTTTTGTTTTGTTTTTTAACGTTATGTGATTTCTTTTAGAACCAGCTGCAGAGGCTCCGCAGTCAGGAAGTCCTCCGGCAGCAGGACATTCAGAAGAAATGCACAGCCGAGGATGAGGAGGAAGAGGAAGATGAGAGCAGCAACTCTGCTACCAGCTCCCCGATCCTTCGGCACAAGGAAGAGCAGAACTCCAGGTACTGTGATGTTCCACTTATTGGCCTCATTTTTCAACCAATTCTGTTCAGCACAGTTTAATTAATGCCAGTTCAAAACTATTTTGTCTCAATGCACTTAAATACAGAGTCAGTTCAATGTAATAATGCTTGCAGATTCAAAGTCAGTTGCATCCTTTCAAATTTAACCCTATTTAATAAGTACTGCAATCGGGTTATTATGACAATTTATGAAAAGTTTTCTACCCAAGTCAGGGATTGACAACTTTTACAACCCTAAAAGCCTTTTTTGCTGTCGGTTCAGCTAAGCACTTTAAAAAAAACACACAAAAAAACGGAACATGACTCTTCAAAACAAAATAACTTGTTTTTTTAATACTTACTTATAGGAAATTAGTTTTTTTTTTTTTTTTTTTTTTTTTTTTTTAAAAAAACTTTTTTTTTCTTTTTGTTCAATTTTTTTTTT